TAAAAACCGCAGCAGGTCATAGAAGGGCGGAATATAGGAGGCCTCGTCCCCGCCGTACCTCTCCTCAAAATGGATTCGAAGGTCGAGAGGTAGACGGGACAGCACTATGCGGAACAACAAAAAGGCCCATTCGCCCACTGGTAAACCCAGCCGCCTCAACGTATTACAGGCCACCAAGACTGGATCCAACAGGTCCGGACGCAGTCTGGCCCGGTCACTAAGCAGCGGGAGGCTTAGAAGCTGCTTAACATGCTCGTCTGCAATTCGCCGGACGTTGGCGTATCTTCTGGCTAGGAGGTCCCGAGCAGTCTGGTAGGCGTCGTCCGACAATTTCAAGTGGCCGACGACGCCCAGGGCCTCCCCCTCCAGTGAGGCCAGGAGGTACGCCATCTTTTGTCTCGGGGTCAAGTCACTCCGGGCGTCCACTAGGCTGTCGAAAAGACCAACGAAGGTCAGCCATTCGGAAAGGACCCCGGAGAACTTTGGCAGGTCCAGAGTTGGGAGTCGTCCCAACAGCTCCGGCTGAAGCTGCTTCAGAGAGGACTCGGGCAGGTTACTCATCCGAGCTTCACGCGCCTCCTCGGCATACCTGCCTTCAGCCTCGATCAACTCGTCCGTGAGCCACAAGAACTGCTCATAGTCCGCAAAGCAAGAGTCCAGGACTCCCTTCTCCACATCCGAATCCTCGAGCTCAGCGTAAGCCTCCTCCACTGCGGCCCTTCGAGCATCCACCTGCTCGAACCGCTTCATCAAGTTATGGACCCTATCCGGTCGACCTATCAAAGCATGGGCGCTTGTGGCCCAGCGTAGCTCAGTCCGCAAACAACGGATCAGTAGCTTGGGCGATGTCATCACTATTAAATACAAATTACGACGCGGCTCGAGCACAAATTACAAAGATAACAAATAAAAAATATACCAAAAAATTAACAGTTAATAAATGCAGTTCCTATCAAATAGCGTTGAATAGAAATTACACAAATACGATTTACTACGTATCAACCAAATACAAGTTAGCACCAAAGAAAAGACACAAATCAAATTAACAATAACAAATACTAGTGCGACCAAATCAAGTTAAATTCAAATGGCTTAAAAATCCAAATTACTACTCTTTAGTTCAAATACAAATTACAGTATAAACGAAGATACACATCACGGTCGATCAACAAAAATGCCTAGCTCGGAAATCGACCCTTCGATAAGTAATCCACTACAACTCTCCGACAACGATAATTAACCGATTACGTAAAAATAACCATCTACCTACATGACGTATATCTCTAGAAAAACTCCCGCTTGCACAACCTAGGGCGCGGCTTTTCAAATTACCCTCTAACCACAAAAAAGGCAAGCAACAAAGCAACAAAGGAAAATAATTCTATTATTACGTACAAAAAAAATATTTTTACGTATTACGGACGGGCGTGATTGTAGATGCAAATTAAACCAATCACACCAACGCTCCCTGCCACCAAAATTGTTTAATGTTTATCAAACACTATAGTCGGGATCGACCGGGAATCGAACCCGGAACCGCGCTCTGCTACCAGTTTGTTACGGCCTACGGCTGCTCTCTTAAAGGATCAGACCTTCAGGGGCCCATGAGCTGAAGACCTCTCGAGCAGACGTAGGTCGGGCCTCCTAAGGCCACGTGGAATCTCTCTAATTACACCAAAATACATGGGGGAGCGCCACACCACGGCCAGTCGACCGGAAGGAATTTGGCGGAGTTCACTTACCTCGATCCAAGACGACTGGTCCCTCCGGAGTCGGTCAGGTCGCATGTAGTTGTGTAGTGCAAGGGAAAGAATGGTGATGTGGTGTGTATCTGGGTGTGACTGATGGTGATTGAACCTAGACCTTAGCCGTCTGCAGCAGCCCGAGCGTCGACACCGCTCCAACTTGAGGGGGCCTTTCGAGGTTATCCACAGTCACTTTCTTGGTTCACCACGATGACAGTCACTTAACTCTATCGTACTATTAACTAGCTTACAGAAGCCACTAACTATCGCGGGGTATAAGGTTACCGCCCAAAACACGCCCGGAGTTTCTGGGTCAAAGGTCACTACCGTTTCGCGTGGCAATAGATAGTTCTAAATACAGAGGCCGCACCAGCTTACATTGTCGAATGCACTTATACAGATTCTGAGTCGGACCCAATAAGTCCCGGGAAAGGCTATCCAAACAGGGAATGCGCGTTATAATTCCTAGACAGGATATTTACTAGACGCCCTAACTATTCCGCGGTTCCCGCACAAAATTAACAGCGTGCAAACATTAGCACATCTGGCAGATGACTGACTCGCTTGCGACCCGCGCGCCACTCTGCCACGCTCGGAAGAACTTCAGACCGGAATCGCGCCGAGCCGAGTGACATCTGGTGTCGATTCCGACAACAGAGTTTTGCGCGAACAAATATGTAAAAATAATCTCCACTCCACACCATGTTTGTTTGTCTGTGCACTATTTTTGCCAGAACTACTAAAAGGATTTTCCATCAATCTTAAAGTACATATAAATGCTGGATGTACCTACAACTTTCTTTTATACTATTAATTATTAAGCTGTTCTATTCTATATACACTATTCTAACCCATAATATCGGTGAAAACTACTAGAAAATCGCTTTTAGTTTGTTTTTAGGTTATTGTGTTATTCATATTTTAAGTTTTCATTTCTCAGTATTCCCGTTAGATGCGATATAACTAATATTAGTTTTGTAATCTATGGATTATAAGGAACAAATCGACATACATGTCATTAAGGTTCCTTAAAATTTATTTTTATAAAATAAATTGTCTCTATTTTTTTAAAAAAACACGTTACCCCCACACTAGGATTTTCTCCTGTGTCGTGGAGGCAGTTTACAAATATAAATTGCACAAGGACAAACATCCGGACCCGGAACAATTATTTGTAGGCCATACAAATACTTGTTCCGTGCGGGATTCGAACCCGCGGCCCCCAGCGCAACAACTGTTTGCTAAGCCACTGCGCCACGGAGCCGTTTATACAAAAATAATGTTAAAATCAAACAAAACATCGTGTGTTTGAATTATGTGATAACGTTTTAAGATGTATTTTGTTTTTTTTTTCCGTAATATAAAAGATAAAGGAAGGAAAAGGAAAAGTAAATTTTTGAGAAATTTCTCATCTATCAATCGTTTTTAAAATCAATTATTAGGAAGAATGGCATCCTGATATTGCTAATTTTATTGTTTGACTGCTTCGTTGTCTAGTGCTCGTAAACGCGATTGCTAATCACGAGATCCCGGGTTCGAATCCTCGGTCGGGTCAAATTCAGTTATTGTTTTTTTTTTACTTTATTATTACTTGTCTATGACATAAATGAATTTTTTGAACTGTATTGCACTGGCAACAATTTTATCTTCTTTACTTTGAAATGTACAAGTCAGTGTGCGCCACCATTAAAAATTTCAATTTTAAATAAATAATAGTTTTATTGTGCCGCAACCAAGAAATTAATGTCCTAAACATGGTGCCGAAACTTTCAGTATAATAATCCTCTAAAAGTAAGTCGGGTGAAGTGACTGATTTTTTTCCTCTCAGTTCGCGACGCGCTATCCACCATCTCAAGTAACGTCGCGCAATAAAATCAAAACCCATGAAATCCAATCGTAATAAATTCGCAAACCATTCCAATCGTAATAAAGACGAAGTCGAGGGAAACAGCTGGTTTTATAATATAGCTACTCCTTTTCTGCATTGAGATCCATCTATGGGTTCCACACTCTTACCTGTTTCTGCCGCCAAGCAGCAGTGCCTGAGCTGCTGCGTTCTGATCTGATAACTGCAAGCTGTAAGGTATTTCAGCTTTCTTACAGGTTTCTTTAGTTGTAGTTGGTTCAGGTGTCCATAGGCTTTTCCTGCCTCCGTGAATGGGTTCAGGGGCGAGGGACTTGGGGAAGCCACCGCCACCCCTATTCGATGGACCCGAGGCGGAGGCGCGCGCCCCTGAGGCGATAAACGGGGTAGTTGAACACCTCACTACCCCGTGCAGGAGACGAGGCCCGGACAGACCGGACCAGCACTAGTGTTGGGCTGCGGAAGAATTTGGATTCCCGCGGCCCCACGCGCACGTGCGAGGAGACACCGGGGTGGTTTTAGCCGGTAAGAGTCCGGCACGCCCCTCCACCTTTCCCCAGGCGGAGGTAATCCATGAGGATTTCCCCCCGTAAAAAAAAGGTGTCCATAGGCGTCAAATTTTAGTCCTCAGGGTCTGTCAATATGCATTTCGATTCTTGATTTAGTGGCCACACAATCCGGACCTTTATCCAAGCCTAATCACAGTCTGAGTTAATTTTTGCATAACCGCATGAGTCTCTATGAAAATATTTTAATGCCTGTACCAACCCAACGCTCAACCCAAAAGAGGCTAGTGCTTCACAAAAAGCATCCTTGTCCACACTGTAATAAGCCTTTTCCAAGTCGAAAAATGCATAGCAAACTTTGTGGTTTTTGGCACAAAAACTCCTCTTTGCGTAGAAAATTTAACATTTTCTAAAAATTTCTTAAAATTGATTAAAACCTTGCGCTAGAAGCTAATTAATCACGCTTAAACTTCGATCAGTTTATCAACAATTCTTTACCGACTTTTATACTTTATACCTTTTTATGACATCATTACATTATGGGATGGAATAACAACCATCTCCCTCGCACTTTAATTTTTTTAATTTTAATAGACGCTACTAATTCATTTATATGTGTTTGTTAATCAATAATATAATACGTTTATCAATAAAAATATACTATGAAAGGAACTTCGTTCCAACCGAGCGATTCACGACACGCACGCCAGTCATTTTGTAATAAAGCTAAGGTTGACTGGTAGAGAATGTCTCAGGCATTAAGTTCGCCAATACATCATATTGTATGAAGTTTAAAATAAATAAATACATAAGTGCTTTATAAGCGTTTTAGTGCCGTTCGTTGTGCAGTAGTTAGTTCCAGCGCGGCAAGGAGTTCGCACAAAAATGTTCGCGATCTTGTCCATTGTTGTGTTGACATTAGTGCTAGCGGTGATGGTGGGACTCTATCAGAAAAATACCAACGCAATGTGCAAATCAAGGAAGAGACTTGATGGGAAGACCGCCATTATCACAGGCGGCACCACCGGCATGGGCCTAAGAATTGCTATCGATTTCGCCGACCGAGGAGCCAAGGTAATTGTCGCATGCCCTTACCCTGACGAAGGGGCCAGCGCTATAAAAACGGTCAATAACAAAACCGGCAGTGAGAAAGTGATCTACAAATACCTCGACCTTGCCTCACTAGAGTCTGTGCGGAGTTTTGCAGCAGAGATCATGAACACCGAAGATAAACTTGATATTTTAGTCAACAACGCCGGAGTTGGTAGTATCGGTGATTTTCTGACCAAAGACGGCCTGCATATTACAATGCAAGTAAACTATTTTGGACATTTCCTCCTAACGCTGTTGCTCCTGCCGCTTTTGAAGAAGACGGGAAGTCCTTTGGAACCGAGTAGGATAGTGAACACGTCATCTCTATATCATAATATTGGCAAGATCGATTTCAAAAACTTAAACAAAACTAATTATTGGTACAAGTTTCAAATCTACGCGCACAGTAAGCTAGCTCTGGTAATGTTCGCTCGAGAACTTACTTGTAGATTGAGGGGTAGCAGGGACACGCATGTCGTTATTAATTCTGTCGATCCCGGCGCAGTTGGCACAAATATTCAATATTCGTATGGTTTAATCAGAGGTGCAATTGTAAAGTTTCTGATTTATTATATGTTTAAAACACCATGGGAAGGAGCTCAAACTGCTATCCACGTGGTGATGGATAAGAAGGCCGGTGAAGTCAGCGGGGAATTCTTCAAAAACTGCAAGCGGGTGTCAGCGCACTGGAGTGCTTACAACGAGAAAGTTGCGAAGCAGCTGTGGGAAGAATCAGTTAGACTTGTAAAAATGAGTGACGAAGAACTCCATCGTTGCTTCCTTGATTTGTAAATCTAAGGTTAGTGCCGTGTAGTGTGCAAGTATTAAAAATATTGTGTCTATTAATAAAAATATTACATTGCTGTGATATTAACTCGACAATTAAAATATTTTTAAATTAAAGAAGTTTTTTAAATGAATTTACAAGAAAAAATACATTAACCTTCTTTACCGTCATCATCATCCCCAATTTATGAAAGCCTCTTTTTTTCTTTATTTCTCTTTTAAAACGATATTAATTTCTCCTAAATCATGAAGGCGCTTACATGTGTAAATTGCACATAGGCAAACTTTCATATGATAGCGCTTAGGGCGGTGTAAGATTATCCAATAATCCATATCGACCCGTGAGTGTCATAAGAGACATCAAAGTGAAACTAACCAGGAGATGGGCAGCAGCGTGTTCCTAACAAGAACGAAAAAATAAAAACCTGCGGTTGCCAACCCGTCTGCCAAACGTGGCAACGCAAATATCCCTTGGCAGAAAAGGAATCCTACCTAGTAATTGTGCTTGCAGTAGTTAGTACGTACCGCATACAACCTTGTCCTGTATTAATAAGACTACCTCGGTATCCAGATCGACAAAACTTTTTTGGATTTCGGGCCAACATAATTTGCTTGTAGCTAAATCAACTTAGCACGTTGCTAAACTACGCACAATATATTAATATAAAAATAGATTAAACTAGCGATCTGCCCTGGCTTCGCACTGTTGTATTCTCTCTCTGATCTCGACAACAACTCCAGCTACCGGGTCCAATTGTGAACCAAATCATTCTTTAATCAACTAAATCACACACAAAATTCCAACAAAACCGGTGTAGCCGTTTAGGAGGAGTTCAGTCACATACACACGGAGAGAAGAATTATATAATATATGTAGCCGGTGGAAGAAAGAGGGGCGATCTACCGTCGGGCAAGGTGTTCTGCCCGGGGAGCGGCCAACGTTCCGAGTGGTAGTTCGGAGCTATTCTATATATATTGCTTTAATTTCGGAACTTTGTTTAGCGCAATTTAGGCGATTTAGGCTTCGATGTGTTTCGCTTGTGGCGCGAGGACAGCGCCGCCACATATTTAATATACACGTATTATATATATATTCCGACGGCTCCGTGGCGCAGTGGCTTAGCAATGAGTTATTGCGCTAGGGGCTGCGGGTTCGAATCCCGCACGGAACAAGTATTTGTATGGCCTACGAATAATTGTTCCGGGTCTGGACGTTTGTCCTCGTGCAATTTATGTTTGTAAACCACTTCCACGATACAGGAGAAAATCCTAGTGTGGGGGTAACGTTTTAAAAAAAATATATATATATATATATATATAAATTTTCCTCTTAAATAAATCTGTCTACTAATGAAATTTTCGTCAATATTTGTTGTGTTATTTTTAAGATCTAAGCGTACAGACGGTGGGAAGCGACTTTGTTTTATACTTTGTATAGTTAATTAATTTATTAACAAAAAATATAGTAAAAAGACGCTTGTACGGACAGTAATCCGTAGAGCGCAAGATACAGTCAATCACAGAAGATGTTCCGTAGAAGTCTCAGTTTGCCCGTTTATCGAAAAGTAGGCCGATGAGATTCCAGATACGCAGCTTCAGTAGCTGCAACTAATAGCTTGAAGTAGTGACCTCAGCAGATAATTCTGAAGTTCACCTCTTTGCAGCGCTTATGCGAAAATTATAACTGTAATCAGTAACTAAGATTATTACTTTCACAGATTTTACTTTTTTACAGATACGAAGGTGGTAGAGCGCAGCAGAGAGAGCAGCTTTATTCTCTTAAACTGACGTCAGAAAAATCACCAAAATAATATCGGACAAGTCTTATTCGGCATAGTAAAGCTACTGCCTAAATACGTCCCACTGCTGGGCACAGGCCTCCCCTCATTTCTGAGAGGGTTTTAAGGCAAGTAAGTGTCCGCCGCGCTGCCCCAATGCGTGTTGGCGAACTTCACATGTCTGCGAAATATTTTTTTCTTATTCTTCAGATATGCAGGTTTCCTCACTCTGTTTTCCTTTACCGCCGAACATGTGGTAAATCAGCACTTAAAATTGCAAATAACAAATTAATTGGTGCCGGCCGGGATCGAACCCGGTTTGCTCGCGTACTGTGAAATTTACAGTGAGCGCTAACCATCTGAGCTACCACGGCTCTCATTCGGCATAATATGTCGGATTTCAGAAAATGTTATTATTATAAATTAATGCTTGACTAGGACTTTATCCAACTTCAAGAAATGAACTTATTCCCTTTTAAAAGCTCGGTGACGCACCTGCGATGCCCCTGGTGTTGCAGTTGTTCATGGGCGGCGGACTATACTTACCATCAGGTGAACCGCACGCTCGATTGCCCCCTCTTCTATAAAAAACTTAATGATATGTGGTGGTGCAGTCTTGGGTGTTGCATTATTTTCTTAGTAAAAGTCTATGAAGTCTTTTAGAGACATTTTCATTGTTTGCGTAGAGAAAGACTGATTTCATTCATTCATTCATTACAGCCTGTCAAAGTTCAACATAATTCATAGGATTGCCTCATATGGGGGATATTTGCCATAGCTGCCACGATTGGCAGGGGGGTTGGCAACTACAGTTTTTTTTTTATTTTGTAGTTGTTATTAAGGAAAAAAGGTCAGGAAGATGCTGCTGCTTACCTCGTGGTTTATCTCCCTCTGTGGCCTCTTACGACACCTCTCTATGGGGTGGTGGATATTCTCACACCACCATTACACGGTCAAGGACAGAGGGACGCCGGTAAATTATTCCATTCCTTTACTTTAATCATTATAAATGACGCTTGGATTGTTTTTCCGGTAGCTATAATTTCAACGAAAGGATCAACCGTATGTATATCTTGATGCCGAAATGGTGGAAAAAGTCGTTGTTTTACATTTGACATTTTAATGTGGGGTCCCTTAGCTATAGTTGTTTTACAAAATATTTGCTATTTGTAGATCTTCGTTTCCGTTTAGGAATCCGTCTGTGTAGATCCACCTACTTACATATTTCTGTGCAAGCAGTGCCGTGTACCGATCTAAAAGGTATAAAAAGTTACAGCCTATATACGTCCCACTACTGGGCACAGGCTTCCTCTCGTTTCGGAGAGGGTTTTGAAGGCCCGCCACGGTGCCCCAATGCGTGTTGACGAATATTATTTCTCAGACACGCAGGTTTCCTCACGATGTTGTCCTTCTCCGCCGAGCACGTGGTAAATCAGCACTTTAACTTACAATTATCAATTTCATTGGTTCCGTCGGGGATCGAACCTGGGTTCCTCGCGGACTGTGAAGTTTACAGCGAGCGCTTAGCACCTAAACTACCCCGGCTCAAGAAGATAGCGAGCCAGTATAACTAAAGGCTTTGAGTCATTTCATTTTCCTTAGAGGTGACAACGCATCTGTACCTCTCTTTAATTGTAATTAGTTCCGGGTGTCTATGGACTGCAGTAGCCCTTGAACATCAAGTGTACTCCTTTGTGATTTCAATTGTTTCAAACAATACATTCCAAGTTATTTTCTCGTCATATTTAGGTATATACGATTGCAGCTCATTTATAGTTAAATGTGTGTAATGAATTATTAATTAAATAAATATATAAGGAATTACTACATACTACAAGCATATAAGCAATTATTACATACTGCATAACCCACAACGCAAGGCGAGGATACAGTCTAACATGGATGTAGTATAACAATAAAACCAGCCGATACATTATTTATTTCTTTTAAATTTTATTATTTTATAAAACGCTACCCTTACAAAGCGATATGACTTGTAGGTGCCATTTACACTAACTGTAATCACGAGACAATTTTCGTAACAGCTCTGTAGCGACACTGTAGGCTTGGGTTCGATTCCCAAACAGAACAAAATTTGTATGGTCTAAAAATAAAGTTAAAAATAATGTAAATTTATAGCGTACATATTATAGTGTCTTCAAAGAAAGACTGAATAGTCTGAACTATTTTAACAATATTATATTTTATTTTTCTCCTACATACTTTTTTGCAGTAGAACACAAATAATGTGCGCTTACTATTGTATTCGCAACAAAGAGTTTGTATACTGCACAGAAAAGAGTTTTCTACAGAACGATTTTATAGAACCTTTAAAAAAGTCAAACTTTTTAATGATTTCATCGTCATCATCATTACAGCCCTTCACAAGTCCACTGCTGAACATAGGCCTCCCCCAAGGAATGTCACAAAACACGGTCCTCAGCCACCTGCATCCATCGGCTTCCTGCATGGCTTACCAGGTCGTCACTCCATCCAGTGGGGGGACGCCCTACACTTCGCCTACCGGTACGAGACTGCCACTCGAGAACCTTTTCTTCCCATCGGTTGTCGGTTCTTCGAGCTATATGACCGGCCCATTGCCACTTCAGCTTACTAATCCGTTGAGCTATATCGGTCACTCAAGTTCTACTGCGGATATCCTCATTTCTAAGTTTATCACGCAGAGAAACTTCGAGCATAGCCCTCTCCATAGCTCGCTGAGCGACCTTAAGCTTCCTCATCCGGCCAGCAGTGAAGGACACCTCTAAGTTCCACAGGTCTTCACTGGCAACACGCACTGGTTGTACAGTCACGTTTTCAAGTTTTGAAGTATACTTGATGAGAAAATGTGCCGTAATTTCCCGAACGCTGCCCAGCCGAGTTGAATCCGTCGATTGACCTCTCGGTCGAAGTTGGTCGAAATCCGACTAGGTAAGCTTAGTCGGACTATTTGTCCCAGGTAAACATACTCGTCAACAACTTCGAGCTTAGTACTCCCAACAACTACGGGAATAGGTGTGACATAGACGTTATACGTGTTTTGTAAGCTTCATTTCCCGTCTAACAGTCATGAGATTAAGAGTGTGATCGGAGAGTTTTTGTGTTCTTCTGCGTCAGGTCTTGCAAAACTTAGCTCCGACCGCATGGGAAGTTTCCCCAAGCTTGTCATTTATAACGTCCATTGCATTGCAATCTTCTAGGCATTGAAAACGGGTTTGTAGCTCGAGC